TAGTTTTTGTCCTTCAGAAGCCCTTCCTCAGGCTTCTGTAGGCTTCGTGGGCCAAAAACTAGGCCCGTTAGGCCCCTTCTGGTATTTCCGGGCCTAGTCTATTAAGTCTGGTCTACTAAGTTAGTCGCTATGCGGAAGAGGGGACTCCGGCTGGTTTGGGCCTAGATCCGGTTTTGGAAGGAACCTGTTGGTGGAATGCTGGGGACATCCGGTTGGCGAAGTCGATGGAGTTGGCGGAAACGGCAAAAAAACCGCACAACCAACAGTTTGGATTCCAGAAAAGGAATTTCTTTCTTTCTTTCTTTCTTTCTTTCTTTCTTTCTTTCTTTCTTTCTTTCTTTCTTTATTTATTTATTTATTTATTTATATCTTCTACCTTCCTTTCTTTCTATCTTTCTTTTTTCATTCTTTCTTTTTTCTTTCCATCTATCTATCTATCTATCTACCTATCTACCTATCTATCTATCTATCTATCTATCTATCTATCTCTATCTGTCTTTCTTCTACCTTCCTTTCTTTCTTTTCATCTTTCTTCTACCTTCCTTTCTCTTTCTTTCCTTCTTTCTTTCTCTTTACATCTTTACATCTCTTTACATCTCTCTCTCTCTCTCTCCTGATTATCAGAGGCGTCCCAGAGACCCCATGGTGGTCCAGGTCAGAAGGAGACCGCACAGAAGGAAGGGCATCCCCGTAGCAGTGAAGATCCTCGCAGCTGCGGAGACAAGAACAGGGGTGGGAGGGAGGCAGGCAGGTTAATGTGGCAGCGAGTGAAAGATCGATTCCTTTCTATTCGATCGATCGATCGATGGATCGATCATTTCGGGGGGGGGGCCCACCCTTCCCCCCCCCCCTCCCAATCATTTTAACAAACTGCGTCCCTTTTTCGCTTTGGTGGCCACAGTGCCTCCGATAGAAAGTCCCTACGGAGAGTGGGGAGGACAGTGGAGAAGAGGAGAGCAAGTTGGCTTCCTCTCATTCAGGATTCTGCTTCTAAGCCAGCGATGGTGAACCTTTTCAGTTGTAGTTTAATGGTTGTGCGCGGATTCCAGCACCCTCAATGCCATGCGCCCCATCCCGCCCTTTTACCTGCACTGCACACATGCGTGCCTCCCCGCTGATTTTTTGGCACCGTTTGAGGTCATTTTTAGCCCTCTCGGAGGCTCGAGGGGATGCCTCGGGAGGCTGAAAAAAACGGGCCTGCTTCGGCACTTCCGCTATTTCCAGAAGTTTCCTTCGAGCCTCCGGAAGGGTGGAGAAACAGCCTCCAAAATCAGCTGGGAGGAACCCGCGCACGCCCAAGGCGGGAACATTAGACTGGGGCTGGCGTGCCGACACCAACGGGTCTCTGCGCGTGCCGCCAAACTCTCTGATCAAACCAATCGTGCGCGTCGATCTGAAGGCTTGATTGAAAGAACAGGATAGGGTTGAAACGGGGGGAAACCGGGATAAGGACGATGAGAACTACATGTTTATAAGCATGACGTTCTTTATCATGGCCCAGCATGTAATTTTGAGATACTGTCATTGCTCTCTAGCCCCATCTAGCGGCCGGATTGATAAATATGCCCAGTATATTGTTGGAAGCTGACCCCCACCCACCCAACCTATTACCCATCAGCCTCCACCCTCAAAACAAGCACACGGATGGGAAGCCAGGACTCCATTTCCTTGAGCGTTTGGAGACAGAAGAAGACGCCATCTTTAATCTGCGGCACGTGGCCCCTCCCAGGAAAAGCCCACATCCCCCCCCCCACACACAGAGCATCGCTGGTGAGATTTCAATGGCTTGCGTTGCATTCACCGTGACGTTCAGCCGGAACTCTGTGCCGTCGATCTTGTCTTTGGTTCTCGTCATACGTATCCCGGTTTTTTACCCCGCTGTTTCAAACCATTATCCTGTTCTTTCAATTGAGCATTTGGATCCGGGGCACACAAGTCCGTTTTCCATTGGAGGCTTCACTGGGTTTCGAACCAGGAGAAGGTTCGCCTGAAACCACACCCGAAGCAGGGCGTGGTTTCGAAACACGCCCTTCTTCGGAGTCAAGGGACGGCCACTCGGCACGCGTTTGGAGGCCCGCCGTTTTTGGGGGGCCTGGACGGTCTCAAGGAGCAGGGCTCCCCCAACCTTTTTGGACCTCAGGGACTAGCAAACTCGACCTTTCAAATCCCGCAGAGCTGCTAACACGAATCTGGCGTGCTGCTCGCTGAAGCGCCGGGACTCCCCACTGACGGGATGGGGGGTGTTCTTCGGGCACTTAGCTTGGCTGCCTGTTTCTGCAACCTGAAATAACTCCGAGTCATTTGGACCCGTTTCCCACACAAAACGAAACATGGATCTCTCATCTCTCTGTCTTGTCTCTCTCTCTCTCTCTCTTTCTCCCTTTCTCCCTCTTTCTCTCTCTCTCTCTTTCCCTCACCTTCTCTTCCCTCTTTCTCTCTCTCTCATTGCTTTCTTTCCCTCCCTCTCTCTCTGTGACTTGTCTCTCTCTCTCTTTCCCTCTCCCCCTCTTTCCCCCTCTTCCTCTTTCCCTTCCCTTCTCTCTTTCTCCCTTTCTCACTCTTTCTCTCCCTCTCTCTTCCCCTTCCCCTCTCTTTCTCAATTTCTCTCTCTTTCTCTTTCCCTCCCTCTCTCTTTCTCCCTTTCTCCCTCTTTCTCTCTCTCCTTCCCTTCCCCAACCTCTCTTTCTCCCTTCCTCCCTCTCTCTTTCCCCCCTCTCTTTCTCCCTCTTTTTACTTTCCCTTCCCTTCTCTTTTTCTCCCTTTCTCCCTCTTTCTCTCTTTCTCTCCCTCTCTCTTTCCCTCCCTCCTCTCTTTCTCTCTTTCTCCCTCTCTCTCTCTCTCTCTCTCTCCTTCCCTCCCTCCACCTCTCTTTCCCTCCCCCCTATTTCTCTCATTCTCCCTCTTTCTCTTCCCCTTCCCTCCTCTCTTTCTCCCTCTTTTTCTGTCTCTTTCCCTCCCTCCCTCTCTCTTTCCCTCCCCCCTCTCTTTCTCTCTTTCTCCCTTTCTCCCTCTTTCTCGTTCTCTCTCTCTCTTTCTCCTCCTCCACCCCTCCCCCGGTTCCCGGGGCTGAGGGGAAAGAAACCTCCGAAACTGCTGGCCCCACTTCTATCCTGTTCTCCCAGCCGCAGCGAAGGAAAGGGCATCGGGGCCCTTGCCTCTCCCGTAAGCCACCTTGCTCCCTTTCTCCCTTTCTCCCTGCCTTCCCTAGGATGAAGAGTGGGGGGGGCTCTTGAACGCCCAGCCAGACTGGGCCCTCCCGCTCCCTGTCAGCTCCTCCATCTCCACCCCCCCTCAGAGTCCAACTCCAACAGGGGCAGGACAGATGACCTCTGACCCGGAAGCACTCCGAAGGCCCCATTTTGAGCTCGGAAGGGTCTCCTGGAGTGCTCCGGAGGGCCCCATTTTGGGCTTGGACCGCCTCCTAGAGCACCCCAGGGGGGACCCCCCAAAAATCAGTTGCGGGAGGGAGCAAAGCCCTCCCGCACCCCGTTTTTGCGGGCCTGTCCTTTATTACGTCGAGTTTGACACCCCCCGTGCTAGACATTCAGTCTACCCAGACGTGATTTTGGTGCTCCCGCTGCCCCCCCAGATATGGCCGGGAATTTTCCCTCCGGGGCAGCCTCAAACCCCGTGTTTTCCTCCCTTTCTCCCGGCCTCTTACCGTTGACAGAGTCACAGTTGCGACGGCTGAAAACGCCCCGGGACTCCAGCGTGATGTGGACCCCGTTTTCCGTCTGATGGTAGGCCATCACGGCGAAGATCTCGTAGGGCGGGATGAGGACTTCCTTTTCGTTTGGGTGGTACGAGACGTCGTCCATGCGGGCTCCGTAACACGTCCGGATGGAGAAGAAGGTGTCCTGGCCGTAGTTTATGGCCACCGTTTTGTCCAAGGACGAGGAGGCAAACTGTCCGAAGCGGACAACGGTCGCCTCGTCGGAGAGGGTGAAACGGACGTTTTGGATCCCACGGAAGACCTGGTAGCAGACCCCGCCGCCGGCTTTGGCCTGGACCGCTTTGGTGAGGAGGAAGTGGAAGTCCCGGAAGGCATAGTGGCGGTAAGAGGCGCGGGATCGCCCAGCTTCCCGGGTGGCGGTGTTGAAATCGCGGTACAGGTCGTCCCCGACGGTGTAGGCCACGAGCGCGGTGCCGTAAAGCGGATCAAAGCGGCTGACAGATGGGCCCAGTCTGTCCCAGTGCCTCTTTGCCGTCTCCCAGGTCCGGCGATACTTTTCCGCCACGGGAAGCTTTCCGGGCACTCGTAGCGTGAGCCGCTTGAAGGGGTTGCAGTCGACGTACTGGTCATCCACGGAGTTGTGGAACATGGTGAGGGGGATCTCGAGGAGAGCCCACACCTATGATGGGAAAGGAAGAGTCCGACGGTCGGGGGGAAGCCAAACTCGAACCCGGTCCTCCGTTTGAGGCCCCTCCATCCGCCAAAGGAGCACATGAATGGTTAGGTGGGTAGAAGAAGCCGAGGTCGGGAGGGGAGCTCACACCCATCTTGGGGCGCTCGGGCCTCGAACCGGAGCTCTCGAGATGAGGAAATGCCGTTACTTTCTCATTCTTGGTGGTACCTATTGATATACTCGCATCGTCTTCCTCTCCTCTTTCTCTGCCCCCTCCTACTCCTCCTCTTCCGCTTCCGCTTCCTTCTCCCCTCCCCTCCTCCCCTTTTTTCTTCCTTCTCCTTTCCCCCTCTTCCTCTCTGCCTCCTCCCCTCCTCTACCTCTTCCTCTTCCTTCTCCCCTCCCCCTTCTCCTCTCCCCCTCCTCCCCTCCTCTACCTCTACCTCTTCCTCTTCCTTCTCCTTTTCCATTTCTTCCTCCTCCCCCTCCTCTTCCCCTCCTCTTCCTTCTCCCCTCCCCCTCCTCCTCCCCATTCCCCCCCCATCTTCCTCTCAAGAGGTGGCCTGTCCAATCTCTTCCGAAGAACCTCCAGTGGATGGAGCCCCCCCCCCCACGATTTCTGGTGGCCAGCAGTTCCCCTGGTTCCCCGT